GCTGAAAGCCCCCCCCCCCCCCCCCCAGCCTAAACCCTAAAGCCTACACCCGAAACCCTAAACCTTATCCCTGAACCATGAGCCCTGCCCCGAGCCCATCTAAGCCTCAAGCCCTATTCATCCAAGCCTGAGGCATACCGGCGTGTCCTGGAGAGGCGTAAGGTTGAGGCCGCCAAGGAAGCAGCGTCCGGCGCAACGTAAAAAGGAACGTCTCCTACCCTTGTCACATGTCTAGCATTGCTACAGCACGCAATCTTCATATAGGGGACTCCCCTATAGTCCCTATATCTGATATGATGTACAGAGATGTTCAGTTCTACCTCTACCCTGTTCTAACTCTCAAGGTCCCTATGTTGCTCTAAGTCCAAAAAAGTCTGTAGGCTATGGAGCCCCAAGAGTTTAGTGCAGACCTCGAGCCTCCAAGCCAAAACACTGCTTGGAGGCCAAGGAGACTTAGTAAGTAGTTTATAAGTAGGGTTATAATTGGGGTAACTCCATCTAGGGTACTTATAACCCTACTTACAACCTGCTTACAGAGTCCCCTAAGCCTCTAAGTGACCCCAAAACCTCCCTTATAGAACTCTTATAATTCCCTTTTAAAGAGCCCTTTAAGGAACCCTTTAAGGAACCTTACTTGCTAAGTCCCCTGGGCCTCCCAGTCCTGATTTGCACTCTCTGAAGCTGGGCTCAAGAGTTACTGAGCCGGCACATCTGTCGCCAGGTGCGCGTAGGGCGACGGGCCTTTTGGTTGTTTTAAGTTAAGTGCCAGGGTTTAAGGTTTAGGGTTCAGGAGACTTCTGAAGGATGCTTTGACAGGTTCCTTTTAAAGTTCTATTGCAATATTGGGTTTGAAGGATTTGTATAGGGCTTTTTGGGACCTTTGAGAGGTTTAGGGCTTTCGGGGCATTTTTTGAGAGGGCACCTAGGTGGTACGTTTAAGTTCGCCGTTTCTAGGTTAAGGGTTGAGGTGTAGGGGTTAAAGATGAATGAAGGGTTTCATTCCAAGCGGAACAGGAGGGACCCTTAATAAGGACCCCTAAATAATATACCCCTGATATAGCCATTATATACCCATTAAATAGCCCATTATGGGGTAGGGGTCCCCGTTAAGGGTCCCTCCTTTTCCCCTTTGATTCATGATCTCAAGCCTGGAGTCGGGGCTAAAGGTTGGGGTTTGGGATTTAGGGTTTACTTGGAGGGTCGGGGGACTTAGTAAGTGGTTACTTTTGGGACTTATAACTACCATAACCTCAATTAGGGTTCCGTTTAGGGTACTTATAAGTCTACTTACTACCTACTTAGGGATTAGGGTTTGGGGTTTAAGACGGACTTAGAGGCCCAGGGGACTTAGCAAGTCGGTTATAAGTAGGGCTATCTTTGGGGTAACTCCATTTCAGGTACTTATAACCCTACTTATAACCAACCTGCTTACGAAGTCCCCTTGACCTCTAAGGATGCCTTAGGCTGTAGAAAACAAAACCTCTAAACCCTTATGAACCAAACGTCCAAAAGCCTTAAAGCCCTAAAGACTAAACGCGCTTAAAGGAGCCCCAAAGCCTAAACCCTAAACGCCACAATCTCCGAACCCTAAACCCCAAACCCCAAACCCTAAACATCCCAACCCGAAATTTCCAATCCCTCCCTGAACTGTCTGGTGCTTAGGGAATGGGGGAATGAATCCCTATGATAGTGCCTTAAGCTCCCCTCACGTAGTCTCTATAACCCATTCCTCCATTCCCTATTACGAACCAGACAGTATATTATGGTATAGTGTAGCATAATATGGCATAGTATCGTATGTGATTAGATTATAGTACACAATGTTATAGTATTGTACAGTAGAACCATTCCACTATAGATACCCGAAGACCTGTTATAGAGCCCTTATAGAACCCTTCTAGGATCCTTTAAAGGAGCCCTATTTCCTACTCAGAACCAGACGGTTAAAGAACCCTAAACGCTAAACCCTAAGCCCTAAACCCTAGACCCTAAACCCTGAACCCTAAACCCCGAACCCTAAACCCTAAACCCTGAACCCTAAACCCTAAACCCTGAACCCTAAACCCTCCTTAAAAAGGTGGTTCCCTAATATGATTTCTTTATCTGGGTGGTTGTCAAAATTATGGTCCCTTTTTGGGTCCCTATTATAATCAGGTAACAGCGCCTGGTACGTGACCGGCGTTTTGTGGCGTAGCTGAAACAGGCAATGTGCTAAAACCTAGGGCAAACGTGTATTATGACTAAAAAGTTGTGCTAGGAAAGGCGGAGAATCCCTGTGACAGGTCGATCGTTTTAGCGAAAAAGGTGATGGCGCTGCAGTAAAAGCCACTTTTGCGAGCACCGCGCTGCGCAAACTTGGTCTGAGTGGACGTTAATATGGTTGACCCGTGGATGCTCTGCGTCAATGAGATCTGGTCTGAGTGGACGTTAACATGGTTGACCTATGGATGCTCTGCGTCAATAACATGGACCACCCATGGATGGTTTGGGCGACGTGGGTTGTAGCAAGTGCCGAACACACCGGAATTACCGGTGTGAACATGGCTTCGATCAGAACTAGAGCTTGGGCCAACCCTGAACCCTAAACCCTAAACCCTGAACCCTAAACCCTAAACTCAAGGCTTCGATGCTCGACATCGATGGCGCAGGACGCTCGCCCCACCGTCCCACAGCCAGGGGTACTGTAGCACAGGTTGTCCCCGGACCAGTACTGGTCCCTATTAAAGTCATTACCCTAAACCCGCAGCCCGGCAGGCGCTGGGCCACCCCCAAAAAGGGACGCCCGGGAAGCGCTTGGAAGCTCCAGCGAGCAAAGTTCCGGGACCTAGGCCCTCGGCCTCCCTCCGCCCCCCCTGGCCGCGGCCCCCCCTAGGCCCTCCTGGGTCCTCCCCTCACCCCTCTTCGCCCCCCCCCAACCCCACCCCCCCTGGCCCCCCCTGACGCCTGGCCCCCTTGGGCCCCTGTACCCTCCTGCCTCCCCCTGCCCCTAACTCTTCTGGCCCCTCTGGCCCACCTCTTGCCGTACTCTGCCCTCCTCTGCCCTGCCTTTTCGGAGCAGAAGCTTGGCTGCAGAAATGTGTGATTGTTGTTAACCAAAATGGACCTAACAGAGTTTAGGTCCTAAACCCTAAAAGGTATAGGTTTGGGTGGTTTGCCGCCTCAGACGGCGTGGGGTGGGTGAGTTAGGTGATGGCCCGCCACAGTCGGGCCATGTCTGCGATTCGCAGGCAACAAAACCGCTAATAAATCCTACAATCCCTGTTACACCACCGCTACGCAATCTTGCAGCAAACCCTAAACCCTAAACCCTGAACCCTAAACCCTAAACCCTGAACCCTAAACCCTAAACCCTGAACCCTAAACCCTAAACCCTAAACCCGAAACCCTGAACCCTAAACCCTGAACCTTGAACCCTAAACCCTAAACCTAAACCCTGAACCTTGAACCCTAAACCCTGAACCCTCTCTTTCATATGTATATTTAAACCCTGTAAGGGATTTTGGCCTTTTCGGGACCAACCCTGTAGCCGATTTTGGCCTTTTCGAGCAACCCTGTCGGGGATTTTGGCCTTTTCCGACCAACCCTGTCGGGGATTTTGGCCTTTTCTGACCAACCCTGTAGCCGATTTTGGCCTTCTCCGACCAACCCTGTAACCGATTTTGGCCTTTTCGACCAACCCTGTAGGGGATTTTGGCCTTTTCTGACCAACCCTGTGGGGGATTTTGGCCTTTTCCGACCAACCCTGTAGCCGATTTTGGCCTTTTCGACCAACCTTGTAGCCGATTTTGGCCTTTTCGACCAACCCTGTAGGGGATTTTGGCCTTTTCTGACCAACCCTGTAGGGGATTTTGGCCTTTTCTGACCAACCCTGTAGCCGATTTTGGCCTTTTCGACCAACCCTGTAGGCGATTTTGGCCTTTTCGACCAACCCTGTAGGGGATTTTGGCCTTTTCCGACCAACCCTGTAGGGGTTTTTGGCCTTTTCCGACCAACCCTGTCGAGGATTTTGGCCTTTTCGACCAACCCTGTAGGCGATTTTGGCCTTTTCGACCAACCCTGTAGGGGATTTTGGCCTTTTCGACCAACCCTGTAGGGGATTTTGGCCTTTTCCGACCAACCCTGTCGAGGATTTTGGCCTTTTCGACCAACCCTGTAAGCGATTTTGGCCTTTTCGACCAACCCTGTAGGGGATTTTGGCCTTTTCGACGAACCCTGTCGGGGCTTTTCGACCAACCCTGTAGGCGATTTTGGTCTTTTCGACCAACCCTGTAGGTGGGGTTTCTGACCAACCCTGTGTCTGACCAACCTTGGTTCTAGGGAGGGGTGGGGTTCTTGCAGGACTCACGAGCATAGTCTGAGGTTCTAGGGAGGGGTGGGGTTCTTGCAGGACTCACGAGCATAGTCTGAGAAACATGGGCTCAATAGCAAAGTTAACTACGTAGCAATTTGCTCGAGTAGCTGGCGATCCTTGAGTCACCGCAGGAGGTTGCCGTTTGGCATGAAGTGTCCTGGCACCGAGTGGTCGCTGTCAAGAACAGTTGCATATGCAGCTACAGTAACAAAATCCGACATGGTTCTAGGGAGGGGTGGGGTGATCGCAGGACTCAGGGGCACGGTCTGAGAAACATGGACCTAAGAGCAAACTTGACCACGTAACAATCTGCCTGAGCTGCCGGCGGTCCCAGAGTCGGGGATGCCGTTTGGCATGAAGTGTCCTGGCACCGAGTCATATGTTAGCATGTGTACATGGTCAAAAGTGACGCATTGGCAACAAGAGCATGTGTGATGAAGTCTGAGTCACGGTATTTTTTAGAGTGTAATTTCTAGAGCATTGACCGTGTCTTACGCACGGCTGAAATTTGCGAAGCAAGAAGTGGACATGGCTAGTCCGAGAGTAAACGAATGAAGATACACTCGACATCTTCAGCAGCTGAAGAACTGTACCCGAGTGGTAAAGCTTGCGGGTTAAACTCCGTGAACAGAAAAGCCGCGCGCGAAGCTCAGGGATCGGAGTTACTGCCCTCGATGTCTGGATCAGTGGAGCTGGCAATCTCGAAGTCCTCTGTGCCGGGCTCGGAAATGGTGCTGCTGTCGGGCTCCGGTTCGTCGTCCGAGTACGTAGACTCGCTGAGGACACTGGGCAAGATCTGTTCCTGGTCGGGGTTGCCATTAACTGGCAACCAGTCCGTCCTGCGGACGGGGCCCATGTGGAATAGATGTGTGTGCTGCTTGACTCTGGAAGCTCCGACGTACGCATAGCCGCGGTCAGGCCGTCGTCGGTCGAAGCAGAGACAAGCTGCACCTAATGTTGCCCCCTGAGCTCGACGAATCGTTGTGGCATATGCGTAGCACGCCGGAATGAACTTGTGGCCCTTGATTGTGACCGGGTGCACCAGGATGAGGACGCCTTGGATGGTTTTGACGACAAAGACGTCGGGCCTGAGTTTGGACTTGACAATGCCGAGGTTACCGTTGACAAAGCCGCGGTCCTTGTCCAGGTTCCGAGTCAAACGCAGCCGCATTCCAACTTCGACAAGAATTCGATCCTGACCGGAGGCAGAGTCCGCGGGGTACCCGGCTCCGCTTTCAATGGAGGCTGCAGCCTCGGGGAAGTCCAGTTTCAAGGACTGCATGTTCATGGCGTAGGCTCCTCGATTCGTCACGGTGAGGAAGGTAAACGTCTGCTCATTTGCGATTTCGAAAGCTTTGGCTTGTCGGGCAGCGGTGACTGGATTCTTGGAGAACATGCGGCCGTCAAAGAAGCGCTCCAGGGACTGTCTTGACGGTTGGCGTTCACGCACCACGCCGAGGAAGTCCAGCATGACCGGGTCGGTGGATCTGGCAGCTGCATGTGGTTGTAGTTCTATGGTCGGCAACAAGGCTTGGGCAGCTTGCCTTTCGAGATCCAGCTGTAGTTGGTGAACGCCGAGGATTGGTTGCAACTGCTGAAAATCTCCGACAAAAACAATGAATGGCTGAGGGTAAAGTTCGGCCAGTGCTGTTTGAAGTATCTTCCAGACGTGAGCATCGATCTGGGAGATTTCGTCGAAGATGATCAGATCATAGCTGCGTAACCTTCCGGGGGGGACGTACTGCTCGTCTGCCGACCTGGTAACTTTGAAACTTGCATGTAAAGTCTCCATTGTCAAGTTCGGTGAAGGCGCCAGGCGGGTGCGGTACAATGCCACCAATAGGCCGATAGGTCCGGCGATGAGCACCTTGCAACCATCGTCGAGTGCTCTTTGTGCTGCTGCGATTATGACTTCGGTCTTGCCGGTTCCGGGGCCGCCCTTGACGTGCAGTAAGCGGTTAGCTTCCTTGATTTCGTTGGCATCTGTCATGTTGGTACCCTTGGCGATGATGTCCAAGACTTCTTGCTGCTCCCTCGACCACACTCGTTGGGGCAGCTCAAATATGCGTCTCGCGCTCCATGCTTCCGGGTCCTCTCTTCCCTGGGCGACTTGTTGCAGCAGAAGTGCAGAGGCATTGATGCGAGCCTTGAAAGTCGCAATTCGGTCGGCAGTAAGCCCACGAATGACGAGGTCGTGCTCGATCGCTACAAGGAGCTTGTTGACATCGGGAGCGAAGTTTGCGGTGGCCGGGTTTGTTTGGAATTCATTCAAACAAAGCACAGCTTTAAGATGATGGCATCCTTGGGGGGCTTCGAATTTGTCTCGGCGTTGCTTCTCGATGGCGAAACCCTGAGGGTAGTCCGCGCTCGTCCACGGGAGCAATCGTTGCTCGTCCATGCCGATGAGAAACGTTGCGGCCCATGCACCCAAGAAAATGTCCAGCAACTCGAAGGGGAACTGGATTGCTACGCCCACATCTTTGTCCGAACTTCTGTTTGCTCGGGGGGTGACCTTGCAGCCGTGACGCGGCAGCGGCTCAACGCGATGGTCTCGAAGCCAGGACAAGAAGCAGTAGCCACCGTAGTGCCCTCTACGGATGCCTTCTTGGAAAGCATTGTACGCCGATCGACTAACATTTTTTGCTTGACTTCCTGGAATGGGGGCATAGTAGTTTGCTCCCAGAAAGGAGTGACGTACCATGCTTAAGCCTGCGAATTCCAGGGCAAGTTCTTGTTCCAGCGGCGCTTTCTTGCAGAGCAGCCGGTAGGTGGTTCGCCAAGTGGTGCTGTCACTGCAAGCCTCGGAGGTCTTGAAGGACAGAGCGTCGGAGGCTTTTTGGACGTACCCCATGACGTACCGCATGAGGTTGTGCCGTCCTTCTGACGCTTGCACATCCACTCGGCAGTTGAATAAGGTCTCCAGGTGCCTGACGAGTGCCGAATGGTGTCTCTCGCCTGTCCGGCCTTGAACTTGCTCTGCATGGACTCCCGGGAGCAAATCGGCCCAGAGGATGCAGTGCACATGGATCGTCCCTCTTGACTGAAATTCGTACCGGAAAGACCACTGGCGAATGGCACGTATGCCAAGTTCCTCTCTACGAGAGCCGTCCTTGAGCAGGTATTCTTGCAGGAAAGCGTCCAAAACGTGGTAGATGTGCCGAGTCAGCATCGTTTGTTGCCTGGACAAGCTCTCCTCGAAGAACAAGCCTTCCTGCAGTGGAAATGTCCATTCAGCTGGCGCAACCGTGATGAAGATCGACGGCATGGCCTGTTCCATGCATTGATGCCGTTCGAATTCTAGCCGGCAGATGTCTTCCATGCGATGGATCTGGTTTTGCCAGTATGTCTCGAAGGTATCCATGTCGGCCGCCACAGCTTCCGGAGCCATGTTCGTTGAAATTGCCAAGTTGCAGACGGTGGAGATTGTCCGTGCCATGGCAATGTCGTAGAGGAGACTTTGCAAAAGGAAGTCGTTGGCATAGCTGGCGCAGCGAGAACACGTCTTGCGTTCCCAGCTCGTTCTTAAACTGGGTTTGGAAGTGGGCTTGATCAAGTTCAGATTCTTCAAGCGTACACTGATGTCCGAGTCTCCGTAGCTGGCGTATGGATACAACCATGGCTTGACGGCAATCTCAATGCCCGGTTTGTTGAGCAAAAGGTCCGCCGTCGACAGTCGGCGCCAGGTCGAGCTGTTGCCGTCGGCATTTGTTCGGTGTAGTTCTTCTTGCATATCAACGAACTCTTTGTAAGTGCTGTTGTTGTTGAGAAACCAAAGGAACGCTGCGGCAGCTGCTGGTTTCCGTGGTACCTGATGCATGGGCTGATCTCGCCATTCAGCTCGCACGATGGATTGCTTTTTCAGACTCGTGACTCCGCTCTTGCCTCCACGTACAGTCTTGTAGTCGACAAAGAGGCGAACGATTACCAATGTATCCAAGTCTTCTGCCGTCAAGGCTTTGGCGAGGTCTTGGCTTCCCAAGGCTTCCAGCAATTCGTTCCAGTCTTCTCGTTGAGGCGTCACGTAGGCCATGAGTTTGCGACTCTCGGGAACCTCGCCCGGGAGCAGCAGTGACTTGGCAGCTGGATCACATGCTGGCTTGCACTCGATGTCAGCGACGGCGGGCTGTGACTGCGTCCGGGGCCGATGGCGACCACACTTGTTGCAAAAAGTCCAAGCCTGCGTTTGCGCCCACGCTGCCGCCTTGAAGGTGGCGGGCTCCACAGCTCGAGGAACTGGTGCTGCAAGAAATGGCTTGAAGTAGAGCTTCGATTCGTCATTCCAATTGTTCTTCAAGTTGTTTCGGTGTTTGAATCTGTAACGCAGAGTTGTTCTGGGGACGTAAGCTGGAGCTGTCTTGTCCGTCACGGTGAAGCCGGGTATCTCTGCTTCCAGCTGCTTCAAGGCGTCTTTCACAGACTTCGCGTTCTTGAGTGTGGTGTCGATGAGGGCGTGCTCCATGCTTGTCAAAGAAGAGGTGCGAGGCTTCTTCACTGTGCCCGACGCGGCAGCCGAAGAACTGCGTTTCTTGCCGTCATCGGAAGCCGCTGTGATATCCTGGGAGTTCGGCGAAGGGATGTCCGTGTAGCTCTGGACTTGTTCTTGCTGAGGACAAGCATCTGTGTCCACGAGCACGTCCGAATCGCTGTCGGGGTCCAAGTCGATTGCCGGCAGGCGAGCTCGTGGAGGGTCGGGCTGTTGTTGAACAGGAACTTGGACGTAGAAGGCGATGTAGACCTTTTCGTCCATCCCTCCGACAAAGTCGCCCACGACATTCGGTGGCACTTGGCTTACAGCGGTATCGCTGAATCGCACCCAACCGGAGCAGTGCCGGGTGTATGCGACGTAGTGGCCGGAGCTTGCGGTTCTGCCAATGTGTGTGACCACGGACTGGAGCTGGTACTGTTGGCCCGCGACGGCGAGGGTGTTGTCGCAGTGCACTTTGTGGCCGATGACGTTGTGGATGGTTTCCCAGCGTTTTAGCACGAGCATCAACACTCGAGGCCAGTTTTGGATGTTGGTTAAGCCAAGCGGCGCGTCGAAAGCGCGGTCGGAAGCGGCACACTCGGCACTGCCACACGTCCAACCTCGAAATTCATGGCGCACTTGTGCATCGGCGAGGTACGCATCCAAGGCGGCCTTGACGGAGTACTGCGGCTCCCCATACACTAGAGGAAGATGCAGAGAAAGAAACTCTTCAGGTTGCGACGGTCTCTCCCAGTCGCAATGGCGGCAGCGAAATCGCGGCACTTCTAAGCCGCGTAGCGGTGGATGCAGAGCGGGCGTCTCGACGAGGAGTCTGACTAAAAACTCCGCAGCATCCTCTTGTCTGCCATGGTACCAGTCACTAGTTATTGTTCTTGGTGTGACATGTTTGCCGCCGGTCAGCTGTTGCAGGATCGCTTGCAACGCCACCTCTGAGTTCGAGCTGCCATTGAGAATCGCAGTCTTCAGGGCCGGCACCGAGATAACGGCCTGGAGGGACGCGTTGATGAAGCAGGAAGCTCCAAGATTGACGAATCCGGGCGGCAACGACATGGTCGTGGTCGAGTGAGTGCAAGCACGGGCAGCGAGCAGGTATCACTGAGCCTAGAGAGCAGCTAATAAGAACCGCGGCGAGTGCAAGCAAAGCCAACTCACATGCCTCGATATGCTAGACAACTCAGGCGCAGTAGGCTTTCTGCTGACGCAAATATTGTTCATGTCGAGCCGTACTTACGGCGGTTGGCTGCCGAGAGCCTTCACTCCTGCTTGATGGTCTTCTTACTTCGAGGTCCGCGACGAGGACGGTTGGGATCTTTGCGGTGGCGAGCTCGGTCCATGCGATGTCGAAGATCCTTGGCGATGTCGTTGTCAACCGTGGAGATGCAAGCGAGGGCTTGGTCAGCTTCAGGGGCGGCCAGCTGTAGCAAAAGATGTGTGAGCCGTCCTTGTCCGTGATGGTGGAGCAGGGCAATGTCATTTAAATTGCAAAGGTCACAAAGCCCAGAAGGCCCAGCTCGTGCAGCAGCTCCCCGAATGCCCATAACGCAAGGCCCGCGCAATCCCTTGCAAAAGCCATGTCCTTCGTGGGCGGCCCATTTTTGGATGAAGTACTCGCCCCGCTTGTTTTTTCCTTGAACTTTGGGCGGCGTTGGCTTCGAGATGCATGTCTTGGCTCGCAAACGTCGCCCGGTCGACGACACTTCTTTGACAGCCGGCGCTTCGAGCATCAGGGAAGGTTCCGGAGCATCGGTCACTGGAGGCAGTGGCTTGTCGGTGTCGCAGGGCACCATCATAGCAGCCTTCGAGGCATCTGTGATTGTAGGCTGTGGCTTCGTCTCTTCGGAGTGGGAGAGCACCATGAGGGCGGCCTTTGCATCATCGGTCATTGGGGGCTGTGGCTTCGCGTCTTCGGAGTCGGAGAGCAAGTCGATGACCTTGTCCGACGGCTTCAAAGACCACATCGTCTTGCAGGTTTCAGAAATGCTTAGGTGCTAGTGAAGTTCTGTGTGAGCCAAGGCGCTGGCAAGAAGAGTTGCAGTTGCAGGAAGATTAACAAAGCTGTCGCGAGGACTCCAGTGCTGCTGCAATTTTACAAGCAACGCCGCTGTGCTTCGGGGCCTTCCCGCGGCTTACGCGCGGTGAGGCCGGCAGAGAATGAGGTACACACGGCTAGCACAGTGGTCACTGCAGTCCGAGAGTGGACGCATGAAGATACACTCAACATCTGCAGTAGCTCCAGTGACTTGCCTGACTTGAAAAATCTTCTGGCACTGGCCGGCCAGCTAGCAGCTGCGGTTCAAGAGTGGACAAAGCAACATGCACTCAACATCTGCAGCAGCTTAGGTCTCGCAGCTCAATCGAAGAGACCAGTTGCATCGGTGCCTGGACGCTGGGGCCCTTGTGGCTCGGCAGGTTTCTGCACCCGAACCTTCATGCATGCCGACATGTCGCCTGCACTCAGCGGCTTGTGTTCCACGGCTGCGCGGGCCACGACCTCAGCCGTGTGAGCAGTGTAGTACGAATTGTTGCCGGAGAGCACAAAGAGGGCTCCACGCAATGCCGACCTAGGACGAGCCAGCCACCCATGAAACTTGGTTGCGGCCGCTACCACTTCCTCTTCTGTGTACGGATGCACGGTGCTTGTGCCTGTTTTCTGTCGTTTAGCGTCTCGGAAGCCGCCAGTAGCACTGCTGTCCGCTTTTTGGGAGCCGCGGCCGACGTTGAGCTTCTCCAAGATGGGCTTCAACTCGTTGGCTTCTGTCATGATCTTCTCGTACAGCTCCGGCTTGATCATCAACCGCATGTTCTCCGTGTCGAGGTTTTTGATGGCCGCCTGTATGGCGGCGGCGGTCATCGAGATTCCAGCTCCCACGTGCCACCCGTCTGTGGCTGCGTCCGCACACAAGTGGGAGTGGTACGCTGCTTTCTTATTTCCTTCCGAAGCAGCCTTCCAAACTTGTTGCAAGCTCATCTTGTCTAGGGCGCCCTCGCCAAACGGTTCGAGAAGTTGGGCTGCGACAGAGTCCCATGGATAAAGCTTTACGCGCCGATCCTTGGAAGTGACCTCGGGCTTGGAGCTGTCAGCCTCCACGTTGTCGAAAAGGCCGGATGCCATGCTGAGGATGACGAGATAGAGGCGAAGGACAGTTCTGGATTGCTTGTTAGCGGCTGCACTCATAGCTATCTTGCATGTAAGCAGTCAGAATCACTCCCTGCAACGTAAGCAGTGCCAGACATACTCCCTGCATGTAAACAGCACTTGACAGAATGAACTGGCGTGTATCCGGCGCCTCTGGAAGCACCGCGGCGAGGTGGCTGTTGGCATGAAGTCGCCTGGCGTGAAGGGACATGTCATGACGTGCAATCGGCAATAGCGGCATGGTTTAGACACTGCGTTCACAATAGCGGCATGGTTTAGACACTGCGTTCGCAACTACACTACGTAGCCGACACTCTTTCAAAAAGGCAGTGAACAAAGCTAGCACACCAAGGACGGCACGCTCCGACATGAGGCTTCGTGGCTTCAAGCAATGCGTCAGCGTGTACAAATGCACATGTGAAAATGGCTGACAAGAAGACTTGCATTGCGACCACAATCATGTAAAACAACGAGCCCTCAGCGTGGTGGCAAAACTTGACTGACTGTGTCGTTGTGCCCAGCATTCACAAAGTTGTCCAGGAAGCTTCTGAACAATTAATTTCCGTCCGGCGCTGTTGTTTTATTTTTGGAGGATGCGTAGGTGTGCTTCACACCCACTGCGTCTTATGGGTAGCCCAAGCCGAAAAGCGCATGGGGGGGCCAAGGCAGTTCCAACAGGACAACAACTGGGTTGAAAGTGTGGTGTCGACATCGGTCCAAGATAGGCACGACGGCTGTCAAGTTTCCAAGTTTCTTTGCGATGACTCTTCAGCTTGCTTCTGCGATATGAGTGATTTCATGTCTTTCAATGTTTCCACATCGGACTGTGTCCACCGCTCTGGGAAAGGTAAAACCCAAACTTGAAATGCCTTCTCTCGCGCGCGCGCGCGCGTTGCAAAGCACAGAGGCGGCCGCTCCTGGAGCCAAGGCCGCCGCACCGTTCCAAACTGATGTTCCTGCTGTTGCTAAACCTTAAATTCTCTACGGTACGAAGACCGTTTCCTGCTTGTTTTAAGTATAGCAAGTAATCGTTGAAGTTGTTGTTGTGGCTAAACCTTAAATTTACAATGGTGTCAACACCGTTGCTTGATTGTTTTAAGTACAGCATGTAAAACATTGAAGCTGCTGCTGTCGCTAACACCTCAATTTTCTATGGTGTCAACATCGTTGCTTGCTAAGCAGGTAAAGAATTGAAATTGCTGCTGTCGCTAAACCTTAAAATTCCCATGGTGCCAACACCGTTGCTTGCTGTTTAAGTAAAGCAAGTAAAAAATCGAAGTTGCTGCTGTCGCTAAACCCTAAAATTCTGACGATGTCAACACCGTTGCTTGCTTGTTGTAAGTAAAGCAAGTAAAAAAATTAAGTGGCTACTGTCGCTAAACCTTAAAATTCCTGTAGTGTCAACACCGTTGTTTGCTTGTTTTAAGTAAAGCAAGTAAAAGATCGAAATTGCTGCTGTTGCTAAACCTTAAAATTCGTATGGTGTCAACACCGTTGCTTGCTTGTTTTAAGTAAAGCAAGTAACAAATTTAAATTGCTGCTGTCACGGTATTTACAAGTTGTTTGCTTGTTCTAAGTAAATCAACTGAAAAAATCTTTTGCGGAGGCTTCTGCTATGTGAACGAGGACACATAAAATGCAGGACAAGGACACATGCTTGCGGTCGTTAAACGGCAAGGTCACTGGCCAGTGGCTGAACGGTCATCGCAAAGAAACTTGATGTAACAGCTCTGCTAGCTGTCGTAAAGCGATGGCGTGACCGCAGCCTCAGCTGCTGTGGGTAGTGCTTGTTTCTTATAAGACCTTGCATCATCTTAGCGGTAGCCTACGGTCTACCGGTGTCCTCTAACGCGCGCGCCAGTGCGCGCGCGCGCGCGTTGTTGGAGACCGAGACTCTCGGGAGCGAAGCGCCTCTCAGGCCTGGAGGCTCTCCGGCTTCAGGTCCTGTGGAGGTAGCCGCGTTACGTCCCCGCCCTAGGCTTCCTTTAAAGAGTCGCCACGAAGACTGCACTCTAAAAGGCTTTTTTTTTGATTTTTACATGTACATAACACAGTTCCAGCGAAGTTCGCTTTCGAACAGCCTTGAAAGCTCCAGCAAACTAAGCTCTTTGAAGCTGTCTCCAAGCTTCCTCTATATGGTTTTGCACGCTCTAAACCACTAACTCCTTCTTGAAGCTTTGAAAGCTTGTTATCTTGCTGAAATAGCTTAAAAATCAGCGAAAGCCTGGAAAAACAAAGAAAACTCCAGACTACGCTTACTTTTAAACAATATCTCTAGCATTTTCAGATAGGGTTTGATGCCGTCTATACCACTGAACTAGCGTTGAAACTTTCAAAAGCTTCTAACTTAAAAACATAGCCATTTTCTTTCGAAAAGATCGCGATCGAAATCGAAAGTCCCAAATTTTTGCAGTTGCGCACACTTTTAAATGATATCTCTTGCATTTTCAGATAGGGTTTGATGCCCTCTATACCACTGAACTAGTGTTGAAACTTTCGAACGCTTCTAACTTCAAAAAATAGCAACTCTCGTTTGGAAAGATCGCGCTCGAAATGAAAAGTGTAAAGTTTCAGCATCTAGGAAGTACTTAAAGCTGATATGAAGGCATTTTCGAGCTGGATTTGATCCCGGTCAATATTTAACTTGGATTCCCGACGTTTAAATCCATGCTAACTGCAAATACTGGTGACTGAATTTTGAAAATTTCGGTTTTCAGAACGTTTTTTAGTTTTTTTCGAATGTGCGCAGCCTTTTAAAAGCTATCTCTGGCATTTTTGGACAGAGCTTGAACCTATGAAACTTTTGGAATACCTCCCGCAGCTCGCAACGAATGTTCGCATAACTTCCGAGTCAAGTCGGCTAGATCCGGATCCCGGTTCCCGAAAAAAAAAAATCCAAAACCCTACAAGTTAAGGGTTTGAAAATTTTTTTTTGGATAACTTCGTTTTTTTGTCAAAACGAACGCAGATTCAGATAGAGGGGATCAAACCATATATACTTGTATGGTCGCCAGGTCTTTAAACGGAAGAAAAAAAAATTCGACCTCCTCAGATCCACGAAATTAGGTATTTCAGTGGTTTGCTACACGAAATCGATTTAAAACGCGGCTATTTGGCTTAGTTAGATCATTTCATGTAGGGGGATATGGATAACAGCTGAAACGGAGCAAGTCGTCAAAATCCGACTTCCCTGATTTGAGGTTTTTTCCAGGTTTCAGCCTCATTTGCCTTGCTAGTAAGTTTAGAAAGCTTCAAGAAGGAGTTAGTGGTTTAGAGCGTGCAAAACCATATAGAGGAAGCTTAGAGACAGCTCCCAAGAGCTTACTTTGCTAAGGCTTCCAATGATGTTCCAAAGCAAGCTTCGCTAGAACTGTGTTATTTACAGGTAAAAATCAAAAAAAAGGCGTTTTAGAGTGCACTGCTCGTGGCGACCTTAAAGGAAGCCTAGGGCGGGGACGTAACGCGGCTACCCCTACGGGACTTGAAGCCGGAGAGCCTCCAGGCCTGGGAGGCGCTTCGCTCCCGAGAGTCTCGGTCTCCAACAACGCGCGCGCGCGCACTGGCGCGCGCGTTAGAGGACACCGGAAAGCACAGCATGAGCATCGCTTATTGGGGGGTAGTCACACCAAGCAGTCCCAGGAAAGCCAAGTCCTAGCTTAAGGAACCTAGCACATGTTCATTGAAAATACCAAAGCAACAAAGACATCATGCCGACAGCCGCCACCATGCCCTGCCTCGGCGCCACGGATGAAAGGTCTTATAAGAAACAAGCACTACCCACAGCAGCTGAGGCTGCGGTCACGCCATCGCTTTACGACAGCT